GATCCAACTCTCTGGGACAAAACAACTCCAAAAATACGTGTCGTTCACGAGAAAATAGTTTTTGGGATAAAACTACCTTAACGGCCATCCTCAAGTAAGTTGGACTTCCTTTAAGAGAAAGCTCTGAACTGCACCTCATCTAAAGAAAATAAATAGATTAAAGACTTGACAACAATTGCAGTAAATCAAATCATGAATTATTTATTACTAAAGCACTATCATTTAATTATTATCGGCTTTTGATATAAAGTAATACATAAAAAAGAAATCTACCTTTAAAACAGGCACCTTCTCCACACAAACTGTCATATTTTGGTATATCCATATCAACATAAGGCAGCACAATTCGAATTTTGTTTAGGATGTATTCTCCGGTGGTTGACTGAAATCCAGTGAGATCTCCACCAATGATGTGATTCCATGATTTGTAATAACCCAACACATCTTCTTCTTCTTCCTTTCCATCATCATACACAAAACTCACCCCACACTGCTTTGTAACTGCACTACCAATATCATACGGTTTCTGCCTTAGGATAACAGTAATAGTAACCTGATCACCACATTCCATTTCATTCATCCCAAACATCCAATGGCTTGACAACGTCAAATACATTCCACTTAGATAGACTATGTCAATGTAATGGTTGTATATCCAAGTGAGGTTCTTTGTAATATTACTAATTATGATCACCGGCAAATTAAGAGGTACATCATCTACAAATCCAAACCCCTCCAGAAAAAATTGAGATGTCAGCACACAACAGAAATTCAATCCTCTAAACGTGTTAGGAGATGATGGGATTGTAAATGATATTGATGGCCCACTGCTTCTCTCCGTAATCCAATTCGGCATCTCTTTCTCCTCCATAAATTGTACTGAATATTCCAAATTCATAATACACCTGCCAAACACCACCACCTTCATTAGATCACCATATTATATATATATAATATCCACAGAAAGACATACTTAACAAGAGCAAACCTGGATTTCAGATTCCTTTGGTCCAGAAAACCAAACATCAGTTTGCACACGCCTTTCATTAAGGAAGTCTAGCTTAGTCCAGCCCAAACTATGTAATAACTTTTCATCAATACAAGCCATTGGTTGGGTTTTGACCAAGCCTTCAAATTCAAACGATGAAGTTGCAAACATCTTCCAGTCTACTGACAACTCGAGTGGGGACATTTCAGGATCAAACACAACTTTTTGTAGCAAAGGCTTATTAGAATTAGAATGAAGGTCCAAATACGTTAGTGTATGTGGAAGATGATCGGCTGACGTCAGCAAATTACAATTTACCATACTAAGTGACTCAAGCCTAGGAAGGCTTTTAACACAGTAGGGTAGAGAAACGATGGGATTATCATCTAAATATAATTCCTTTAACATAGATAGGCTACTGAAGTCCATGGGAAAGGATTCGGTCGACAAGTTATTATTTGCAAGCGACAAGCTTAGTAAAGATCTGGGTAAAGATATGGTAAAGAATTTTGAATAAGTTGGTGTAGCCTCTGGAATGGTGGGGGAAAAGGTTACTATGTTTTTTTCAGGGGAATCAATATCCTTAATGTGGATTCGAGATTCACTGAGATTACAACCCTCTATCAATAGTGTTTTAACTTTCTTTAACATGCCTATGATTCTTGGAAGATTTTCAAGCTTGTTGCAGTAGCTCAGATCAACATGGACAAGTTCAACACATTGCTCAATTGATTCACAAACATCAAGCAAACCAATGCAGTCTATAAGTATTAACCTCTCAAGTGCAGGGAGTTGGTCAAAGCCACCCAGACTATGAAGTTGTTGACAAAAACTTAAATTTAGAATCTTCAATGATCGAGGCAACCTTTTGTCTTCTAAGAAAAATCCAGTTGACAGCTGATATGGAGATAACTTAGAATAGTACTGCATTTTATCAAGCGAACATGGAAAAATAATAAACTTAGATAAATTACCTTTTGCCTCTTTTGAAGTCGTTGTGGATTACTATAACAAATTCCAAATGATTCAATATTGCTATATGACATATCAAGAGCAACCAGATTATCCATCGGCAAGTCCGAAGGTATAGACTTTAAAGTGAACCCATGCATACACAACCATCTTAGTTCTTCTGAAAAATTCTCATAAGGCCCAGTAGTTTGCACATAATTGAGTTGTAGTAACATCAGATTGTCCATGTTACTTAATGCATCTGTTTTTAGCTCAAATGATGCATGAAACTTCTTTTTCTCAAGCATTCGCATATCAAGGACAAGGCCGAGAACATTTTCTGTACCCTATGAAGAGATGTAAATACAAAAAAATAATAATAAGTATATAGACAATACAAAATACTTTGAAAATACCTATTAGTTATGCATGTTACTAAGGGATAATGAAAGGCAAGAAATAGCAAAATACTTTCATTTATTTGTGTATTATAGCATCCTACTTGAACTTAATTCGTTTACAACATTGACTTTCAATTTCTTTTTTCTTTTTAAGACACTGTACTTTGAATAATATACCCAATTATAGTATTATGTTCTCAAATTTTTATTAGTATACTATATACAAAATTTACTAGTGTATTATATATACTAATAAATCTATACAATTTAGCAGTCAAAAATGCTTTGTATTTGAATGACATTGTAATAACAAGGTACATTTTTCAAAGTATAATGTTGCAATAGGAAGAAATGAAAGCAGAAATCAACAAATCAAAGAAAGTACGATCATATTGCTTGCATTTAATCCTATTACTAATGAGTATACATGGCCTCTTACCTTATTTTGTTTCAATACTTTGAAAGACTCTTCATGACACCATAATCGACTTCGCTTCCATGGCTTGTGAGGTGATTCTTGATGTACTATGAATCTTCCCATATTTTGAAGCAATTGATGCATCATCAATTCGTTATTCGATCCGATACTAAGAAGGCATCTGTCAACAAGATTTGTGATCCCAGATCTTATGTTTATATTACATGCCTCCAATATCGTTTCAGTAACATCTCTATCTTTTCCAACAAAAAAGCAAGCAATATGCTTAAACAAATCTTTATCGTTTGTTGATGGCAAAGAATTGAAGCTCATTCTCAAAACATTATCTATAGGAGAACCGGGTTCTTTCGTTAGTTGTTTTATCCAATCTTCCCAGTATGCTACATCTCGATTATGTAAAGACTTGCCCAAAACTTCAAGAGCCATTGGATGTCCTTCACAATACTTCACAAAGTTTCCTGTCACCTCTTCATAATTTGCCTTGGGCGTGTAGGACATGAATGCATGAAAACACAATAGTTCTCGTGATGCAGTTTCATCTAAGACTTGAAGAAAGTGTTTAGCATGATTGGGTTTAACGTTTGTTTTAAATAGTGCACAGCTCTCTGTCAACCATGCGTCTTTTGTTGTTATTATAACTTTGCTTCCCGGATGAAAACCTTTGCTCCCAAGTAATGAATCCAACTGATGGAGACTATCAACATCATCAAGAACCAGGAACACTTTTTTACGAGTTACTACATTCTCTATCTTTGAGGTGTATATAGAAACCTCATGAACTTTGATTGAACGTGCCTTTGAAATATCATCAACGAGTTGTTTTTGTAACTCAAGCAACCCACTAAATTTTTCATCACATCTCCTACTGATATTTCCAATAAAGCTGCTTTTTTCGAATTCACGACAATGTAATCCATAGACATATTTGGATAAAGATGTCTTCCCGATCCCGCCCATACCCAAAATAGTGAGTATGTCAGTCGTATGCGATGATGCATCTTTCAACCATGAAGTGACGAATGTAATGGAATCCTCCATTCCAATAAGCAGTGGCAAAGGACTGTTTAAGGGTAAACGTAATCTATGGTAGATGTCCTGGACAATTTCTTCAATGAATTCCATCTCTAGCCTGAAACTTGATTTCAATAATAAGTACAACACAATCCACAAAACTAGTAAACTAGATCTGAAATTTTGATTTATCCAAAGACCCAACTCAAAATTATATCATATTAAGCTATTACTTTAATTAAGTTTTTCACATAAAACACATATCATATTTTCACTTCTAAGTTCCGACCATATAAGCATCTAATGTGCATGGTTATAATTTTCATATAATAAGACCAAAGAACCACCAATGTAATACAAGATTTCACTAATGGGAAACCAGATTTCAGTATGTCTCTACAATGCCATCAAATTAAACTTAGTTGAAAATGTGGTTTTGCAGGAACTTGAACAACAACTGCTCTGGTTGTAAGGTAGTATGCTAGATAATTAATAGCAGACACATAGGAAATCATTTAAATTTTGGATTTTTAATAGAAATCATATAAAAGAATATGTATATTCCACGATATTGAAGACTCTTATTGGAATGTATATGGAGAAGATGATATTGATATTCCATGTGTTGATCAAACAAAATTGAAAGTTGGAGATATGGGTAAGAAAGTGGTTACCTGCCGGTTACGTCCTTCCCTTTCAAATCAGCAACTTCTTTAAGTGCTTTATTCCATCGATCAATCTTTTGATCCCATTGACTTCTTTTATTTTCATCTGTCTCCGCCTCCATCATCCGTCTATGCTTAGCCATTGCATCTCCAAAGCTACTTTGTTGTTTCCTGACATGGGTTGGCTCAACATGATAAAATACAGGGATGACAATTTGGTTGGATTTCACACGTTGCTTAAGGATCAAAACTAATTCATCAAGGCACCATGACGAACTAGCATAATTCTTGGACAAAACAATAACAGAAGCCCTAGATGCTTTAATAGCACTCGCCAATTCTGGTTTCAGATCTTCCCCTGTTTCAATCTCTTCATCATCCAAGAAGGTAGTGATATTGGCATCCACAAGAGCCTTATGAAGGTAAGCAGTGAAACTATTACGAGTGTCGAGACCTCTGAAACTTAAAAACACGTCGTATCTATGACCATGAGTTGATGAAGATGATGAAGATCCTTCTGAAAATTCAGAGAGGACAACCATTATAAGTTATGTGATGATGACCCTTCACCCTTGCTCAATTTTGTGTATATATGTTTTCTTTCTCCTTATATGTTGGTGTATCCCAATATGCTCAGAAACTCAGTTTCCTCCGGACATCATCAGTTATGAATGTTGGTTTCACAGGTTTGTGTCTTCATTTTACAAAACTAAATGCACATCTAGAAGAAGCATAGTTCAGTTATCCCAAGTTTTCCCTTCTGGAACCTTATGAGGTGTGAGAAAAGATCAAACAAAATCTACCCATGAGCCAAGTATACTGACTCAAGCAGATATAAATGCTGCAAATTAGACTGCAATTAAAAGAAACCCCCTGTTATTTTGTAGCCAAAAGAAAATCTAATCCAGTTTATTTCCAAATAAACTGGAGCACAAATTAAGTGATTTATGATTTAAACTTTGCACTAGCAATATCCGAATTTAAAGAAACAACCTTTTAATTTGTTGCTAAAAAAACCTAATCTAGTTTATTTCCAAATAAACTGACCACTAATTAAGTGATTTATGATTTAAACTCTGCACTAGCAATATCCCATCTTAAAAAAATCCCCTGTTAATTTGTAGCTAAAAAAACCTAATCCAGTTTATTTCCATATAAACTGAGCGCTAATTAACTGATTTATGAATTAAACTTCGCACTAACAAAATCCTAATATTGTTTCAGGAAATATAACATCCGAAACAACTTGGCAAGAACAAAACTTCTTACAATCTGGTTTAGTCAGTAAGTTTTGCACAGTGGAATAGAGCTTATACAATAGAATATTAAAGCTTGTTCATTATGAGCGTTCAGCTTCCCTTTTAATATCATTCAAAAAGATTTACATGTAAAAAATCATGTTAATAAATTGGAAAATATAAAAGAAATAATCAAGAACTTTTCACAGTATGCACAAAGTTTTGTTAGAAATTCTCGATATCCTAATTGACATACAGAACTGAACAAAAAGTAATTTGAATAAACGGAAAATATAAAAGAAATTCTCGATATCCTTAATTATTACCTGTTTACGAACGACAACGAGACCTGAAGCAGCGTGATATAGCGCACCAACGGCGAAGAGAGCGAACGGCGGTAAGTCGTCAGGTAAACGACGAGTCAACGAAGAAGAAAGGGCGACAGAGGAGAGACGAGAATGTTGACTTTTCTTTCATTTTTGTAAGTAATTTAAATGTTAACAAAAGTAGACGAATTCAGACAGCAACGAGAACTCTTATGCTCTTGGTACTTGTGTTCTCATTTATTGTTTATTTGGTCCTTCCAATTTGTAAAAATGACATTTATGTGAACTTTAATTTATTTTAGACTTTTTATGAGTTATTTTTTTTAATTAAAAAAGAGAAATTAAATATGCTCTTACTTTTTGTTCCTACAAATTCTCCTACCAAATTAAATAATGATATGTGTAAGATTTAATGTTCATTGAATGATATTTTAATACATTAATATGACAAATGTCATCATTTAATTGGGTAAAAAGATTTGTAGGAACAAAAGTAGGAGGATATTTAATTTCTCGTTAAAAAAAATGTTGTCCCTAACTACAATTTTCTTCAAAACATACACATAATAAAGATATGATTTTCTTCTCTAATTTTCTTCAAAACATACACACAATAAAGATATGATTTTCTTCTCTAAAAAAACCTGAAAACCGACATATGAACTTTTGTCTCTAAAAAACCCTAAAACCTTTTCTTATCATTAATGATGAAAAACTTAGGATGTGTTTAATTGTGGAAAATTTTCTAAGAAAAACAGAAATTTTGAAAATATGTTTGGGTCATTCAGTCTTCCAAAGTTTTTTAAGAAATGAAAATTTTTATTTTTCCAAATTGTATGTAAATTAGAAAATTGATTTTTATAGTTTTTCAAAGTTTTCAAAATTTTTAAGATGAAAAATAAAAACTCCACCCGTTCTAACCAAACGTGTTTTTTAAAGTTTCCAATGAAAACTCAAATTTATTTTCTCAAAACATTTTCTTGGAAAATAAAAATAATTTTCCACAACCAAACGCAACCTTAGAAAATCAGAAATTGTTATTCCTAAAGAAACCTCGAAATTACCTTCTTTATCATCTCTATCATCTTAACAAAACCCATACACCCAAAAGCAAGGTTGTAAAAAACGTTCGGCTAGACCTCTACCGTCGATTAGGGGTTAAGGGATTTATCGGTCTAGGCAGGGATTAATCGGAAACTAACCAGAGACCCTAAATTATTAATAATACTCTTTAAAAACTTAATATATCCTAAGAAAATAAGTATTTGAACTTTTAAAATTTTCAAAATTGGAAAATATGAAATATTTTTTATAATATTTGAATATTTAAAATTGTGTATTGTTATAAATTTTTATGTAATATTTAAAATTTTGAATTTTTTAATTTTCCAGGCCTAAGAGTAGTAAGGACCGTCAAGACCGATATTGACCATTTTCCACCAAGCACCCCTAATTGTAATCAGTTGTAGACCGTCAAACGATTAATCCCCGTTTAATGGTCGATTTCTGCAACACTGCCCAAAAGTCGACATGATTCTTTTGTTTCAAACCCATAAACTCATAAGTTGGTGGGATTCTTTAATGTCACATAGAATCAAATACAAAAAGGCCATCTAAGTAGACTCTGTTAATGGCTACACAAGATCACCTTCAGCCCCATCGATTAGCTACATAAGATCGCCTACACCTTCATTCATAAATCAACAAACTTACTTGCATCTGTGTGACGTCCATAAAATTTCATAAAAATTTAAACCTTTCAAAACAACCCATTTACTAAAGAGGTTTTTACAAAAAAAACCATTGTTTCCAAAACATTATTTAAAACCGGAATCGTTTACGACATAGTTTTCAAAACATTTTCATTATCAGAGTTTCCTAGAAATCATAAGTTCCAAAAACAAGAGGATATGTACGGTCATGCCTTCACCTTGCCACGGTCCACTGAAGTACCTGAAGCCATAAACCAAAATTGTAAGCACAAAGCTTAGTGATTTCCCCTAAAGTACCAACACACAACACAAAACTAGAATAATACAATAAACAACATGCATACAGAGCCTTCATCCCGTCTGGACTGCCTCACCGGGCCTTCATCCTGTATGGACCGCTCACAAAACCTTCAACATGTCTGGACTGCCTCACCGGGCCTTCATCTTGTCTAGACCTTTCTCCGGGCCTTCGGCCTGACTGGTACACCCCACTGGCCTACAACCTATCCGGGCCGCCCTGGGTCTATTGGCCTTCAACACTAAGCAGGACCGCCTCAACCCAACCATACACACAAACCATGTCGATATATACATAACAGATAAGCATTCATATAACATACCGATATAAATATCATCGTGTAACACCCCAAAAAATTCAAGCCAATTTAAAACTTTTTAAACAACCCAAAAACCATTAGTTATTACAAACTTGTTTTCAAAATGTATAATATTAGAGTATCCCAGAAACATAGTCATAAAAAGTGAGGAGTTGTACGATCATGCCATTGCCCTGTCACGATCCCTTGATGTACCTGAAACAATAAACTGAAACTGTAAGCCCGAAAGCTTAGTGAGTTACCCCCAAAATACCGATACACATACAGTCCACATAAACATATCATAACAAACTGAATAGAACAAAATGCAATGGGTCCACAGCTTTACAAGCTGGATTACCCATGGGCCCTCAATATGAGTCTGGAATGCCTATCGGGCCCTCAGCTTGTATCTGGAATACCATTGAGCCCTCAGTACAAGTCTGGAATGCCTATCGGGCCCTCAACTCGTATATGGAATGCTCCCAAGTCCTTAGTATGAGTCTAGAATGCCTACCGGGCCCTCAGCTCAAATCTGGAATACTCTAGGGTTTGTTGGCTACCACACGGAGCAGTACCACCTCAACTCATCCCACATAACATGTCGACATGTAACAGATAAATGCACATACATGTAATCAATCAGTGTCACAGGTAGTCCTACAGACCTACCCTCTAGCATATCAACTAGCATGTGTAACCAACTCATACTCAACATAATACAACTACTAGGATATCACATCCAATGGGTCGGCCTTGGTGCCTTAGACCCCTTAGTATAGCGAGGATAACTCACCTGGCATTGTTGAAGTGCCGTAGACACAATCATACACTGCTTAAGTTCCGCAGACTCAACCCCATCTGTTGGATGATAGATTCCCGAACTGTTAACACCAACATAACACCCAATTAATAATTGGGTCCCAACACATAACCATAAATGCATCCTTGGATAATTACTACATGACCCCAAGGTCGGCTTCATTCAAGCCCAAGGCCCAACCCATAGGCCCAAAGTCAACTGGGAATCAAGGCCCAACTTATGGCCCAATTTTCCAAATTAGGCCCAAGCCTATACATGGTCTTATTCTAAGGCCCAACATCGTATGATCATTAAGGCCCAGACTATGGCCCTTCTATGACCCAATTTTCCAAATTGGACCCAAACCACTTACATGGGCCTTATCCCAAAGCCCATTAATTATTCTAGTCCATTTGCTTAATCTTGGATAGCCCATTTAATAACCCAATCATCAAGGCCCAATAGAAATGCCTAATAATAAACCCAAGTGAAATTAGGGTTTCACATAAAATGATGATTAGGGTTAAGTTTCCTACTTAACCCATTAAGGAATTAATCCATTAAGTCCCTCACTTTACTGAATAAGTCATATGGTGTGCTTGGGCTTAATACACAATTTCATTCCAATGGTCCAAATGTGGTTCCTGATAAGTCCAAGCCCATAATCCCAAAATTAGGGTTTTCATATGAAATGATGATTAGGGTCAACTGTTTCTCACTTAACCCATTAAGGACTTAATCCATTAAGTCCATTATTGCCTTGAGCTAGTTTGCCAATGATTATTAACTATTACTTAGGTTTAATAATTGATTCTTGTGTGTGTCCCAAACGACTCCCATAATTAGGGTATTATGCCCTTAGAGTCTT